AAAGCACTCAACAGCCTCATTTCATCCACTGGTGGCCGCAAGAGTGCAGAATTCCAGAGTATATTCATCAATCGGCAATCCGCCCTGCCGTAACCGCAGGAGCTGGTCTTGTGTGGACAGCCTACCCGCGGCAACACCGAAAACCTCTTTGAAATGGTTGGAGAAAGCTTCAAAGGAGTTAACAATGATACTTTGGGTATTCCAGATTGCCTTCGCCCACAGCAACGCTTTACCGCTTAATAGGGAGATGAGGAACGCTACCTTAGATCACTCTGTGGTAAACTTCTGTGGCTGCATCTCGATGAAGAGAGAGACTTGGAGCAGAAAGCCGCCACACCCAGCTGTGTCACCCGCGTAGGAATTCGGGATGGCCATGGGACATACAGAGGCAGGTGCCGGGGCTGGTGTCGGAAGGAGGGTCGTACGGAGGGTATTGACCAATTCCTCTAGCATGTCTGCCGCCGTGAGAGGCCGGGGCTCCATGACATGCATACGGTCCTGGTCCGGTCTTCTGTCACGTACACAGGCTAGGAGACACAGAGGTAGAGGTCAAACAAGGGTTTATTAACAGGAGACTGTGAAGTGAGCCAGGTGATGTCGAGGTGAGTAAAGCGGGAGGTGATCAGGTACTGATTACTTGGCTTGCTGTGACTGTATTTAGGAATCTTGCAGGGATCTCGTGGAGCGGTGGAGAATCAGAACAGTGGAGAAACTGGAATTCTGCAGTAAGGAAACACACAGGTTAGCTGAGAGAGAGTTCGGCTAGGTTCGAGGTAGTGAACGGTAGACCGGATAATGACTATGTGAAACGTGAGCACTGATAAAGGGAGGCTTAATGAGCTGCGGCAGGTGCGAGGAATCAGAAGGCAGGTGATTGTGATCTTGTGAACATCGGTGCTGATTGTGGTGACTGAGGTGACTGTGACTCTCTGACAGAAGTAGAAAAAAAAGTTTTGAAAAAAAAAATCATCGAATCTATGTGAATCACACAAAATGGCCTATTCTGAATTCAAAATGGCAATTTTTGTCAAAAGCTGACTAGTTTGCATCCTTGTTAACAATCTTCTCAGTTTCTCAAATTTTAAACGCTAATTTACAAACATATCGTGACTTTTTTTTTTTGGGGGGGCAATAAAGAAACTTAGAAATTAGTCACTTTGCCCTCTTAGGCAACAACGTTATGACTTAATGACTTGTAATGAAAAAAATAACTACTGTACGCTACCAATCTCTGTTAGTTCATTTGAACATTGCTGTCCTCATTTTAATGCAGTTTTTCTTTTGCCATGTCTTTTTTGTTCTGCGCCCCAGAGCGTTTCTCTCCTTTTTTCATTTTGGTCATGTGACTGTGTCTGTGACAGCAATTCGAAGGTTAGGCGGTTGATATGTACTATTTTTGAAATCATTAAAATGTTAAACAACCGTTAAATAAAAATTTTCATTACTTTATTTTTAAAGGGGTCATAGGATGCTACATGCACTTTTTGGGAAATTTTAACCAAACTATGTTACAGACTTTTCATTAAGACCCTAAAGAATCATATCAACTTGTGGAAAATGGGCATCCTATGACCCCTTTAACAACTAAGCTTTTGATTATTTATAATATTTTATTAACTCTTTTCCCACCACACCAGCGGTTTTTTTAAAAGTTGCCAGCCACCGCCAGCATTTTTGATGATTTTCACTAAAATTTCATGGCCCCCAGAATATTTTGTTTTATAAATATCAGAACATGCAATACATCAAAATAAAGAACACAGCCTCTACTTAAAAACAAACAACAACAAAAAAAAACTTTTTATTCTAGCTTCAAGCGTTCTTTTTTTAATCAACACTTGAATGTAGTTATGTTTTATAAAAAAAAAGCAACATTTTGAGCAAAAAAGCTGAGAAAATCACATTTGTATCAAATACTACATCTGGATCATATTCAGTAGGATGATCAAAGCAAAGATGCAGTAGGTTTCTTCCATCAACACCCCCAAAGCTCGCAGTCCTTTGCCACTTCTTGGATCGACATTTCACTCAGTAACATTAGGCAGTTTTCACTTTTATGCTGTTTATTGTTGGTGATCGCATTGTTTTTCATATGCACATGCATACATACGAGATCACTAGTTTCTGCGCCTTCCTCGCATGTGTTTTTGATCGGCACATTCTAGACTCATTTAGGAGATGCGTATAGCTCCCCGAGTGTATAACAGCGAGAACGCGGAGACCTGGAAAATTCCGTGTTTGGCGGTGAAGCGTTTTCTCATAAATAACTGAAAATTCCATGTTTGGCGGGGAAAGAGTTAAAGAAGATTTTCACAAAATGATTTTGGCAAGATGGTGCCCCCCTCCGTGCGGTGCCCTTATGCACTGCATATACTGCATACCCCATTTTTGCGCCACTGCCTGGAGGCATGCCATGGACGGAGACGAAGTTAAAGAGTCACGAGCATGTGAAGCTTTTGCGTAGAGATCGTCTGCAAGCTGTGACATCGCCATAAATAATTCCCTTAAAGCTGGGTTCTTTGGGAAGCTGAACAAGGTTAACTTTCCCTCACAACCAAAAACACACTTCTTTGGTGACATTGTTGATTTCGTGATCTAGAAACAAAATGACAAATCCTTCTTGACCAAGTCCTGTGCAGCGCTGCTGACGACTTCCATAACCCGAATGAAGCACGTTGATTTATTGTCATACTCACGCTCTGGTTGTTGTGTACGTGTGCTCTTCCGGGAGAAGTGCCCATACAAGGAATTCTGCCCTTTATGACGTCATACAGGGTCATACTTGAAAAAAACTTTCAGAAACTTACAAAGTTATACTATACAAACCCTGAAGGAGTGTATTTGGTACAGAAATACTCCGTCATGCATCAACTCGTTTTTTTAAACTTTGGCCATGCTTAACAGTGTAAATAAGTCAGAATGCATGAAATCGCACTAGAACTCCCCTTTAAGCAATAACATCCACACAGCTGATATGTTTACCTGTTGTAGTTTATCCACATGTATACACAACATAGACACTGACAGTCAAAGTGCACCATCGGAAAAACGCTAATTAAACTTTACTGTTTTGGCCCTTCAAAACTATTTTGGCTGAAACTGAAGAGTCTGTGTATCAGTAATATCATCGTGGCTTACCTGTTATCCAGAAAAGATTGATCTTGAGAAAAGTGACTGTATGGTTTAATGGTTAGAGAGTTCGACTTGTAACCCGAAGGTTGTGGGTTCGAGCTTCAGGGGGAGTGAATAACCAGCGCTCTCTTCCACCCTCAATACCACGACTGAGGTGAGACTCTTGAGCAAGGCACCGAACCGGGTGGTGCCAACAGAACCAACTGCTTCCCAGGTGCCGCAGCAATATGGCTGCCCACTGCTCTGGGTGTGTGTTCACGGTGTGTGTGTGTGTTCACTACTGTGTGTGTGCACTTGGATGGGTTAAATGCAGAGCACAAATCACATGTCACTACACTTTCACTTTTTCACTGAATAAGTTATTTGGCTTCGGACACATCCCTTATATATATTTTGAAACTATAATTGTTAATCATATTTTGCGTTCCATATGCAGCCACCAGTTCATGATAGTGGAAAGAATAACCAAACAATGATGGGAGTTTTATCGCTCTTTCCTTTATCATTTTTTGTGCTTGCTTTCCAAACCTCTTTTGAAAAACAATTTTTGTAATCTCCCAGATGCCAGCATGCTCCACCAGCAGAATGCCTCCTGGCTCTGGTGGTGCACCATACTGAGGGTGCATATTCATCCTTAAAAATTGCCCCTGCCATTCCCCACCGCCAGTCCATCAGTTCGATGCCAACATCTCCCATTTAGAAAATCCACAAAGCTACACATGCATGGGAAATGAGGCACATTACAGCTTAATGCAAGAGCCAAGGCAAGAAGGAACAACAGAGACAATTAAGGAAGCCCCCCTAACCCCTCCCTCACTACTTAAGTCATAATACCCTCATCTAATTAATATGGAATTTCTTCTTACATTCACATAACCATATTCCATGCATTCAGTTTGGGCCTCAGTCGAGATCCTTTCATCCGCTCTGTTCATTTATTCTGGGAAAGACAGGAATTAGCCACAACACTTTGTGCAGCTAAAATTATTTTGTATTTGCATTGAGATGCACTGTGTCAGTCTTTCTTTCATTCTTTTTCTCTTTTTGTGTGTATGTGTTTTTGTGAGTGTGCTCTCTCAATTGTGTTGTTTGCATAGAAAAGCATGTTGCCAAAAGTTTATTTTTAGGATGCTTTTCTAGGACCTGTTATCACTCTGTTGCTAAAGTGTAGGAGGAAGATAGAGGCAATACATGAAAGAGAGACAGAACAAATCAGAGAGAAAGGCAATCTAAGTTCACATCTAAAATTATGCCCTCTTTCTTCCCCCCAAATTAAAATTAATAATTAAATTAAATTAATTAGTTAAACTCGTATAACTTACTTTCTTCTGTGAAACAGAAAAGAAGATATTTAGCAGAATGTCCAGGCTCTCTTATCCATATAATGAAAGTGAATGGGACCTGAGGTTGTCAAGCTCCAATAATGACAATAAAGCGCTATAAAAGTATGATACAAGTAGTCCAAACACCAGACTCCAGTACTCCCGAAGTTCAGACTCGTGTGCTATATTCCAAGTCTTCTGAAGTCAAAACCATTGATTCACAAGTTTAGAAAAAAAAAAGGTCAGTTATTAAAAAAATTTAATTAAGAAATTAAAAAAGGTCAGTTATTCAAGACTTGTAGTAACATGCATCTGTTACTACAAGTCTTGAATAACTGACCTATGTATTCCTTTACTAGCGGTAAAAAGTTTGGGATAATATCTTTTAATGTTTTTATAAGACGTATCTTATGAAATCGTATTTATTTTATCCTTGCTGAATAAAAATTATTAATTTCTTTTAAAAATCTTACTGATCCAAAACTTTTGAACAGTAGTGTATTTGTCTAATGACTGATGTTTTTATGTCATCATTTGATGCTTCAGCACCCCACGCCAGTTTGACCACAGCAGAGTACTACCACCAGATGGCCCTACTTGCAGGTCACCGCAGCCCGTACACTGACATCATTCCTTCAGTGGCATCCACAACAGGGCCTGCAAGCAACGCCCTTCATATGGAGTACCTGCAGGCTATGGAAAGTAAGTTCTCCACTTGCTTACATTTTTCTGATGTCTACCATCAACATACCCATC